GTACAACAATAAATGAATTACTTCTTTTGAGAAAAAACAGATGTTTGCATAATATTTTGACTTATATTATGGGACAACTTCATTTTCTTTTTGGAAGGAAGATGGGCGTAGTTTGCCTCTTCTACACCTCTCTTATTCCTGCTGTTTTCTTCTCGAAATCCTTCTTGTGGCCGTCCTTTTCTCTGGGCACGCTTTCCTCCTGTATATTTCTTTCTCCTACCAATGGCTGTTGGCTGAACAGTCATTTCTCGCATACCTCCTCTGAGTGATGTATGACCATTAAGGCGGTTGAAATTGTGGAAAGCAGACACATAGGTTGTCTCTGAATTCTTACACTCATCATATCTTCTAAGGAATTTTTCATAGGCAGGCAAATACACTTCTGGCCGTTCCTCTAGTCTTCTTCTCATGTCCTCTAGCAGCTCATTCAATTTTTGATGGCAAAGAAACTTGTCTTCAGATAAAGCATCAGCATCTGTCACATCATTGGTTAATCTTCCTTCTTCCCCTTGCACGGTATTTTGCCCTTGTGCTTCTTCTGACGACTGTTCAACTTCATTAGTTGAGGTTCCTGTTCCTTCACAGATATTATTCTGATAGTTAACAGTAACAGTTTGTGTCAGTTTATGGTTTTCATACCACTCACTGGGAACATTTGCAGTTGTCCCATTCATAATTTTGTGGAGAAGCATTTTCGCCTGTGGATCATTGATAGGTACGAATTGTGCAGAAGTACGACCAAGAGTTTTCACAAGGAAATATTGGTGTTTACAGGGAGCTCCTGTTCGGCCGATTGGGCATGAGCAGACATCAGTTACCAAATCCACTTTGTATTTTTTCTTGCTCTCTGAATTATAAACCTCATAAACAGTATCTGATATCTTGGAATGTACAGACAAAGATTTTATTTTATCTTCAGGAATGAAATATCTTGATGAGGTATAATTGACCATCCTGTTATTCAAACAATCAGTAATTCTCCTCTTGATGTATGCATCCAAGTCATTTGTCATGAAATCAAACATTTGTACCATGTTGTATGCTTTCACTCGCTGGAAGACTTGGTCTTTTACACACAGAGTGGTAACTTCATTGTAATTATTAGTATCATGACCTCGGGTCAGGAGATGATTCCTAAATGGCATCGCCCATTCACTAGCAGTTTCCTTTTTCTTTATAACATGCTCTCTAAAAGTTTTGTTGTCTTTTACAATGTCAAGAGAGATTAGTTCATCGTACATAGCATTGAAAGAGCTGAGATCTGGACAGTCAACAAGCTGCTTAAAGAGAAAATATAGTTCAGGACGGCAAGCAGCTTTGATGTTATGTTTGGAATCCAGTAAGAATCTCCACATGGCAAATAGCAGGTGGAATTTGCAAAGTAGTAGAACCAGGTCTTTGGCTGTAAAGGTTGTACGGAGAGCAGTTCTTTCTGCTGTACTATCATCTGTCATAAATAGTTTGGGGCCTGCATCCTTTCCTCTTCCATAAAAAGCTTTGTCAGGAAGCACTTCTTTGAGCAAAGAAAATGCCTTTTCCAAAGGATAAGTAGCTTCAGATGTGGTGAAAACAACACCAACTGGTATGCCACCAGCAACAGAAGGGGAAACAAAGAAAAATACTCTTGTATTTTGAAAGTCCATATTTCCACTAGAATCAACAGTGACCATTTCTCCGCTGCTTCTGAGAAGTTCATGCGCTCTTTTCATCATGGGACTACATATGACAACAGCAATGTCTTCAGACTCTGTTGCGACTTTTGCACATTCAGAGCCACATGCATCATTGTAGTCTTTAATGAATTGCTTTAAAGTCTCAATCATTCCTTCTCCAGATGGCTGACCGTACTTTTTCTGATATGTTGCATGGAATAGATTATAAACCCACTTATATGTAGGGCACTCAGATCCATCAGCTGCATGCTTAAAATAGTCATCTCCAAACTTCACTTGCATCTTGTTTTTTAAACTAGTTAATGCAGAGGCAGGTGAATGTTTCTTTTCGAATAAATGCAAAATGGTACTCTTTACTTCCAAGGAAGGCCTTCTGTGTCTTAGTGAATCTGCACACTCAACTCTGTGATTATGCAAGTAGTTCACAGTAATCTCACATGGGTAGGTTTGGAGCAACGCATCAATACTCCTGAAAAAGAAAAATTAAAGATAGAGAACTGAAGGATTTCATATCACAAATGTGAAATCCTGACACAGAGCACATATGAAAGCAAAATATGTGAAGCAGGCTCAAGTAAATATTTCCTTTTGTAAGATTATGATTTAAACAGAGCAAAAAGACACTCCTGAGAATCACCAGTGTGCCATACATTCACACAATTTGACAGCAGAAAATTTGTGAGTGATTCACTGAGACAAATCAACACAGAGCACTAGACTTTGAGGCAAAAAGAGCTGATTATGAAATTAGCTTGTACTGAACTAATGATAGATGTGTAGACAGAACTTAAAAAGGACTGCACAAAGTATAACAAATCAAAAGTACACAGAATTAACTATGTAACTGAAACAAAACTATAATTGGACACCATAACCATCCGCTAGCTGTCACACTGCACTGAGCTAAGCAAAGAACCTAACAACAACAGCCAAACGTGTGCATACTTGACAAAGCAAAAACAATTCTTCAACTGATTAAGTAAAAATACATGAAGAAAACCACAAACCACATAGATTAAATGAACAAGAATAAATCCAACAACCACAAAAACTAGAATCATTTCCCAGCATTCCATTTGGAATACTTGAAAAGAGAGCCACAACCAAAAGGTTCACTCCAAACCCTGAAGAAATGATGACAAAGAGCAGATGACTCAACTCACCAACGTAAACATCCACCTTTTATTGGAAAAATGATGACAATCAATGTCGTCTTCAATAACAACTGACAAAAGTTCACAATTGAGAATTTTTCTTCGTAATTTAAAAGTTTAGGAATAATTAGAAAAAACTTAAAAAAATAAAATCTTACCTCTTCATATCACGGTTCTTCACTGTAATGATGACATTGGCTGGACATACAGTATGTTTGGCATGCGCTTTCTTTGTTTTGCTACTTGGTTGATCTGCCCTTGTATCACAGTGACAACGATACACTTTCTGTAAGTAAATGAATGATTGGAGATATGTATATTTTAACAATGAATTAGGTTACAGAAATTCTTACTAACCTTGAAAACTATTCGGTCAGAATTTTCTCTGAAAGTGTCCTTTGAGCGGAGATCTATTTTTGTTACAGTTTCAAAAATATCAATCCACCTTAATGCACTTTCTTTGTCATAAATGTTTGTTCTAATAACAGCTGAAAAACCACACTGCTTCTTTTCAAAATGACAGACTTTATATTCATTACAAGATGGAAGTATATCCTGCAAAAATATCCAATCATTAGATTTAAAAATATTATGTAAAGATGAATGTTGTCTTGAAATAATGAGAATGTACCTCTAGACAGGATGGCATTTCAACTTGTGTGCAGTTCATTGTGGCAATAGAAGGTTTCTTGAAATGAACTTCAAACTGAAAACAAAAATACATTTTAAAGAAATTGGACAGAAATTAGCAGATTTTTTTTAATTAGATTAATTTTAATTAGTCTACACACCTTTTTCCTAATTTGTTTCTCTCTATCAGTACTTGCTTCCTGGGCTCCCTACGCAGAGGCAGAAAAAAACATATGTCTAACTGAAGATCAAAACTCATCTCCACCTCCAATTCATATAATAGGTGGTAATCAGAAGCTGAGAGTCATTTTAAGAAAGTCAGATTATTCCTGCCCTCTTACCTTATTCTTAAGCTGTCTAGCCTCTTTTTCAGAAATTAAATCATTCAAAGGCTTAAAAAACTTTGAGCTTCTAATTTGAGTGGCAACATTAGCCTGAAAACAAGGGACAGTGTAGAGACTCCAAAAAGGTACCATAACTTCATTACTTGGGAAGTAAATCCTTACCTCTGAATTCTCTCGGCTAATTCTCAGTGAGCTGCCCTGCTCTTTTTCTGCTCTCACTGAATTTGGTTCTTTCAAAATGGGTATGTTAACAGGTTGCAGCTTTGGGATCTACAATAGATAAATATGTAAATAGTTCTGATCAATACTTATTGCGACAGAAAATAGTGAAAATGTATTAAGTGTTACGTACATAGGTAATTCGAACTGCAGATGCAGAGGTGGTCTTCTGCAAATTAACAGCATTGCTCACATTTAAAGGCACATTAACCAGAGTGGAATTTTTAGCTTTAGGTAAAGGTTGAGGGTTTATGGGGAAACCTTGGGGAGATGATGAAACCTGAGCAGACAATTATCTAAATCAATGATACCTTTAAGTAATTGTAAATAGACAATTAATTAATAACAACAGCTGATTAAAACTTTACCGCAAGGGGCTGAGCAGGTTTATTTTCATAGTTTGATAGGCCAAAAGGACGCCTCTCAGCTCCAGCTTTGAGAGGGGCAACAACCTGGGCAAACAATTTTTAAACAATATTGTATTTAATTCAAAATTAAGGAGATATTTAGGACAAGATGAAATATTACCTTTATCAGCTGAGCAGCAGGTTTGTTCTCATTGTTCAATAAGGCAAAGGGGCGTCTCCCTATTCCAATTTTGGAAGGTGGAACAGCCTAAACAAACAAATTAATAGATGATGAAATAACCTTTAGACGTCAAAGTTTCATAAATAATTTAACCCGCTAAACAATACCTTTAATACTGAAGCTGGTTTATTACTGTTTATCAAAGAAAGGGGATGCCTCTCAACTGCCCCATTAGTTGGACCAATCACTTTTTTTGGTGCAATAATCTGAGCAGACAGTTTCTAAAAAATTAGTCAGTGAAAGGAGATAAGTCAGAAAACAAAACAAATGAGAGGACATACCTTTACCACCCGCAAACTTTGGGCAATAGGATGCCTTATCCCAGAAGGTTCCATTGCGACCTAACCACACATAAGACAGAACTGATTGGAGGCTCATTAAATTGATGGCTGTAATAGCATAAAAACTG